CCTAGACCAGTCCAGCTAAGCCCGCATTCTGGATTAGTTCTTCCTCCTGTGCACTCCTGCTTCCCACACCGCTCGGTCACTCCCGCAGACTACTCACACTCACCCCACTAACCGTCCCTCCCCTGGATTTACTCCCAGTCCCTCAGTAAAGCCCCTTCGCCCACGACCCACCACCACCACGTGCAAACAGAGAGGGGGACGCAGAAAGCCAGAGTGGGGGAAAGGAGGGGGTAGCGCCCCACCGCGTCCCTCCCTCCCGCAGAGTGCGCCACGGCTCTGTATGAAGCCAAGCGACTGTTGATGGAGTCCAAGGACGCCTTGCAAGAAATGGCAAAGAACGAGGAGGGCATCCGGGAGCAACAGCAGCAGATAAGCGATCGCGTGTGCGCTTCGCTGACCCAAAAGATGCGCGAGACCTCGGAGCTGAAGGTGCGGACAGCAGGAGCCTCTCACAGGTGGTGGCTGAGGGCTAGGATGGGAGAGTACCCAGGCCAGAGAAGGGCGACGCAGGAGGAGAGGGGACAGGAAGCCAGCGTGATCTCCCTGTGCTCAACCCAACCAGGAAAAAATGAACATGACCTTAGGACTAATGAGGGGAACTATCCACCGGTGCACAAAATTCAACCAAGAGATGTCTATCACCCGCGGTTTCATCAAGGTATGGTTTGGGGAAAGGGTCTACAGGGATGGGGCCGGGGGCATCCGCTTAGGATAGGCCTCACTGCTCCGCACACCTCACTCCTGCAGGGTCCTCTGTCAAAAAATTACCTGGAGACTCGAGAGAAGCTGGACAGACCCCTGGTTCGCGTGTATCAGAGACACGTGGGCACCCAACTGCCTGAGGCCAAGCGCCTCACTCAGGTACACCCCTCGCGGTCCCAGTTCCGCATCTCCCCGCCCTCTCTAGGCGCGGCCTTGCCCTGTTAAGACTCCTTCCTCAAACACACCTGGCCCAGGTAAGACCCCCTCACCCAGGTTTGTCAGTCACCCAAGAGGAGGCACTCAAATAACCACACTTGTCTCAAATAAGCCCCTCGACCTCTCTCTGTCCGCCTCATTCCACCCCACTCCTTCTTGACAGGACTCCTCTCTCAGCCCCGCCCTGAGAAGGCTCCTTCTTGCACACTTCGCCCAGATGCTCTCCCTCATCCCAGGTCCGGCCCGTCCCTCACTCAGCAGGTGCATTCTCTTCCTCAGCCCCGCCCTGTCGCGGGGCCGGTTCTTTTTCAAGCACATCTGGCCCAGGTGTGTCGCCCCCAATCCTATGCGAGACCCGCCCCTCCTCAGCTATGCTCCTGCCCAGGCGGGTCCGCTCTGCACACACAGCTGACCCAAGAGTGTACCCCCAATCCGAGGCCCGCCCCCTCTTCAGCTGCGCTCCTTTCACTCGCGCGCCTGGCGCATTGTGTCCGCCCACCACGCCCCGCCCTCGCTCCAGCTCGCAAGTCCCCCAGCATGGCCCCGCCCCCTCCCCAGAGCACTGACAAAATGCAGCGCCACATGTCGCATTTGGAAAAGAACCTGGAGGATCTGCTCGCGGAGCGCCAGAAGCTCACCCACAGCCTCAGCTCCAAGAAGATCGGGCACGACATGGACTACGACGTGGTGCGCCTGCGCCTCCGCCAGCGGCACCCGCATGTGTGCTACCAGCAGGCGCAGGGCCTGGTCAACGACTGGGACCCGCGCACGCCGCCGCACGCCGAGTCTCGCCCCGCCGGCAAGTGACAGACGCAACCCTTTGCCCCAGCCGGCCGATCGGGGCTGGGCCCTCGGAGCAGGCATTCACAACCTAGTGGTCCTCCCTCTCCCCTGAGCCACCCTCCCTCCCAGCGCCCTCTAGGAGAATTATAATTAAAACTAACAATAATTGCACTTATTAGGCATCTATTGTATATAGATCACTTAACCTACAACACATTATGAGCAACGTATCCTGGAAGTTAATAGGATGGATTTGGGTGCCAGATTTATGGGGTTGAAATCCCAGCTCCCTAATAAAAAGCTGTGTGGCCCTCTCTGGCCTCAGTGTCTCTACCTGTAAAACAGGAAGAATTACAGCACCTACCTCAGTTGAGGCACAGTGAGGTTAAGCAGATGCCCAATGTCACACAGCAGCTTCCCCTGTAGTCCTCTCTAGTGCAGGTTTATTCTCCGGAGACCCCAAGCAGCTCAAGTGAGAAGAGAGGATTGAGTTCCATTGCCCTTTTCTCCATTTACCCGG